CCTGATTTTTTCCTCATTGCTTCCCGTCCTTTCTCCCGTGTCCCAATTCCGTGCTGTCCTCTGCGCAGCGCTTTGGTCTGTCTCCTTCGTTGCCTTTTTGTGTTTTTTGGTGCGCTGATCGCGAAGGACATATTTCGCCTTTGTCGGTACTCGATCCCACCCCCAACCTGGCTTCTGTGGTGTCTTCTGGCTTGTGCTCTGTCCCGTATCCGCTCCGTCTTCCGTCTCCTCAGCCCTGTGCCGCTCTGTCCTGTCCCGTCTTGGACATAGTACAGCACCGCATCGGACACCGCATCGGACGCGGTACAGCACGGGTACCGCCTCTGAAACGGTGTAGCACGATCGCGTCTGGTTGTGTTTGATGTTAGATAAAAAATACAGTAGTAATAGCCTTATTCCTTATTCCTCGTAGATAACCAGGAGAATAAAGAGATAGATGGGTTAATATTTCGGCTGCATGTTCTACGGATACTCGTTGACACCATTCTATAGATATTCGTTTCTACAAAGGCATGTAGCCGAAATATCAGCGCATCCATATGTCCATTCTATTGGTTTTCTACGGGGAATAAGGCTAATACTACTGTCTTAGCCATATGCGCGATGTTGCTCGCCAATGCACTGAACAACTTACATAGTTTTAGATCGAGAGGCATTGTCTTATAACTCGGTCGTGGGACTGGACTGTGAATGAGAGTGGTTGCGCCAGGAGACAAGCGGTCACTGCAATGCGTTTAAAGGACATTTCCATGACTGCCGAAAGTCATTGCCGAAACCAGAAACGTTTGCTTTAATGTAAGTGGCAGATGCAATTGTATGCTTTGTTGCCCCCGCATAAAACAGTGGCCCAAAAGCTCAAGCTTTAGCAGCAGTCGCAATGTTCTGAACATTGCAGCATATGAAGTCGTTACGCTCCTCCCATCATACCACATAATGGATGTGATTGCTTCCACTTCAGTTCCGGACCACGTTACCACGCCGTTAGGCGGTTTAGCATAGCAAGCAATGTGAAATCTGGCGAAATCGCAGGTGGCCCTGAAACAAGCATGGGTAGTAAAACGTCTGAATACCGAGCAGGTTGTGGACACAAATTGACGGTCAGGAGGGGAACCTAACAGGCCAATCCGGCAATGAAAAGTGCGTGGCGATGACAAGAACGGCTAGCAAATCATTGCATCACATCATTTTGCCGATTTCTAGTGCATCGCGGACAGGTAAATGCTGTAGAAGCTATCAACGTAGGCCGCGGGAGTCACTGCAATAAAAGTAATGCCGCGACGCCGGACTGTGCATTCCTAATATGATTATGCATGGCCTCCTTTGTGGGCTGCCTCCAGGATTTGGATGAAGCTCCACTTGCAAGGAGAAGCCCCGATGAACATAATTTTGGAAGCATGAGTGTTGTGTTATGCAAATGTTGCGTATGATTATTGGCAGCAGACATAATGTAGTGCGTAAATGAGGTACCCTTAGGTTTTTGCAGTACAGATAACAACGGGTTAATTTGTTGAAGCAAACGCTCTGCTGCTCAGCTCTAATGATGCATGTTAATGTTGGTAATGCTACGTAAAAGTGAGGACTGTAGAAGTTTCAGCAGAATAAGTAATGACGAGCATAAGTATTGAGGCATAAGGTTTGTCCTCCAAAAACACTATTGTCGCGTATAAGTGCTGGCAGTAGCAGTAATTTCGCGTATTTGTAAAAAAGCACACAAGCTTTTGTAGTAGAGGTGATGACGGGCTAGTTTTTGGTGCATGAGTTTTGTCGCGTAGCAACGACGTGTACACGTTTTTGCAGTAATATGAATATCACGTACAAGCGAAGACTGTACACATTTCTGCAACAGAAGTATTGCCGAGCAGAACTACTTCCTCCGTCGCAGTTTTCGCCGTTGCACTACTTGCAGCAGCGCTGATATCGCAACACAATGAAAATAGCCAGTTTGTTTAACATACATGTCATTCTGTTCAGTGCCTTTTCGGTGTGGTACGGCCAGCGATCCTGCTAATTTCATATTCGGTCCAAAAGTGAAGCACCGTCTCGTGCCCACCCCAGACAGGCCCACAGATCCGGTGGCAGTGCGAGAGCATGATCACTGGACCATGCTCTAGCACTGCCACCGAAGGGCGCAGTTTTGTCAACAGAGCACTGCTGTCTGTGCTCCCCCGTCGTGGGGTCAGTGCCTGAGCAGATGTATTGCCTCTGAAGGGGACAAGTCCCAAAGAATGTTCAACCTTGGTGAGTTTCAGTCCGGTCTTAGTCCTTAATTGCTTTGGTAGCTTTCCCATTTGGCTGATTCCAAGCCATGGTAATTCCGCAGTGAGTAGATATTCCAATCTATAAACAGCTCGGACGCAAACATTTGTGCTTGAGCCAAGATCTACGTCATGAGACCTGGGCGTTGCTAGATCTTCTGGTGCATGCACATTTCCCAACAACTTTCTCTTCGTTTGCCATTCACACCAGATATCATCTGTTTCCTTCGTTATCGAAATAACTATGGAGGGACGGAGCTTTGCGTGACGATTTTTCCCTTCGCTGCGCGAGCAGTCCGCTCTTGCCGTGCAACGCCATGAGCAAAAATTGCACAAAACCGCAGCTATCTTGCTGCGTCATTCCGTGGTTTTTTCCTGCTTCCGAGCAAAGGGGTCAGAGTCTGGGCAGGGCTGGGCTTGGCAATCTCACGGCGACGTCATCATGTGAATGCTCGAGAGCATTTACGTGCTGAAGGCATCACGTCATCGTTGTTTTTCGATAATCATTGTCAAGTACTTCGAAGCCATTCTTTCCGACAAAGTGAGTCTAAGGACGTTTGCTAGTACGTCTTTTAGATATACCCGAGTTTAAAATAGAATGATAGGTCACATATTCCAACACCGCCCGTTTGGGCCAATATCAATGCACCACGCTCTTTGTCCAATGCGGGCGACTTTTGATTGGCATTTGATGAAATTATCATCCTAACAGTCACCATCCGTTTCGCACTTAACGTTCCGCATAAGGCTTGCTTCAAACCGGTGAAACATCTCAATTAACAGTCAGGGCGATGAAAGCTAAATATTCGAGCATACAACCAGTCAGAAGGCGGCAGCAGCCGTTTCCTTTGTGAAGGGAGGCACACGATGTTTTCCTTGTCGGTTTGGTCGGGATGACAGGGATGACAGGTGTGATCTGATTTCACATGATGCCGACAATATCAAGGACTAGATCACTTTTGAGCATATGTATGGGCTCAGAATTGAAACTTTCCAAAAACGTTGATGAAAAAATCATCCAAGCGCCACTTTTGAGCCATTCCCTTCGTAACAAAACCATAGCCATGACGTTAATTTTCTGAAATCTCGGGACGGTCCAGCCACCCAGTCTGCACTTTATCGCAACCCCAGACGGACAGACCGGGTTTGTAGTGAACGGATGCCAAAGGGGTGGCAACCGGGAGGGGGATAGAAAGGGGCGGCGGCGCAGCTCGCCCCACCTCAACTTGGAGGGCCTGTGAATGGCTCATGCTGGTGTATTAATGGTCCGTTCTAAACCGTAAAGGCATTACGTAAGCCTGTAAAATTCATGCTGACCTGTTGGGGTCTCATCCTGGTTGATTAAGAGTCTGTTCTGACTAAAAAGAGAGCAATTCTGAACGTGTAGAGAGCCCATTCTGACCTGAAGAGGCCAATTCTGATCTGTAGTTGGCCTATTATTTACTGCGGAAGACATGTTATGGCCTTCAGAGGGCCTATTCTTGCCTTTAAAGGACACATTCTGGCTTGTGAAGAGGACCATTATGACCTATAGAGACCATTATGACCGATTATGACCTGCACATGATCCAGTATGAAGTGCGGAGGGTCAATTTTGACCTGAATAGGACTCATTCCGGCCTGCAGAGGGCCCATTCTGACCTGAAGAAGACCTATTACCGAAAGCGGCGGGTCATTTTTGTCATGTACATGTGTCCATTCAGACTTGTAGAGTGTACCCGTAGAGTGTAGAGTGTACCTGAGCAGAACTGATGTCATCGCTTTATACAATGGACTGTGTCCTGGCAGGGTCCAGTTCGGGCCCCACTGCTATAAAGATCGGCCCAGCTGGGGCCCCGATAAATTGCTGACCGGGGACGTCGTCCCCAATTCTACCGTCTAAAGGCAAAACCCCACACGTA